TAGTTAACAGTTTTCGTTTACTTGGCTCCACAGTCAACATTCTTGTTAACAGCAGCCGGGAAATCAGGAGACGAATTGCACTGGGAAAGCCAGCTGTCAGGGACCTCTCAAGAGTACTGAAGAGCAATGACATTAGACTGAAGACTAAGGTGCGCCTGATCCAGACTATAGTCTTCGCAATTACGTGCTATGCATCAGAGAGTTGGACAGTGAATGGGGTTGATAGAAAGAGAATTAATGCCTTTGAGCTGTGGTGCTAGAGAAGAGTGTGGACTGCTAGAACAAACAGGTTTGTCCTGGAGAGGGTGAAGCCAGAATACTCCTTGGAGGCAAAGATTCTGAAGCTTCATCTGACATACTTTGTTTATGTTGCAAGGAGGGACTGTTTCTTGGAGAGTGACATTATGCTTGGGAGAGTGGAGTGACGGCACAGGAGAGGAAGACCTTCGATGAGATGGATCCATTCTGTGAGTGGAGTGGTGGGAATGAGTGTGTTTGAGATGGCAAGGTTGGCACAGGATAGAATGGCGTTTAGGGCTCTTGTACATAGCATCGCTATGAGTCGCAAGCAACTCGATGGCACATAAGAACAATAACACAGTATTCTTGGTTGACAGTTTTGTTGAGTGTTTGGTATAGGTCCTTCCACTTTGTTCTTGCTTACATGATTTCTGCTGAGAAATCGGCACTTAATCTTATCTGCTCTCCCTTATAGGTTGCTCTTTGTTTCTCCCTTGCTGCTTTTAGGATTCTCTTCTTATCTTTGGTTCTGACAAATTTAACTATGATATGCCTTGGTGTTTTTCTTTTGGGGTCTAGTCTATATGATGTTGGCTGAGCTTCTTGAATATATATTCTCTCATTCTTTATTATGCCTGGGAACTTTTCCTCTAGTAATTCTTCCACAACTTTTTCAGTGTCTTTACTTGCTTCTTCTTGTTCTGGGATTCCAATGATGTGCATGCTATTTCTCTTGCTGGTGTCCCACATTATTCTTAGGTTTTCTTCTTTTTCCTTCTTTTTTGAGTCTGCTTTTTGCTCTAGAAAATTACTGGTGACAATTCTGTCTTCTATTTCACTGGTTCTGTGGTCCATCTCTTCACCTCTGCTCATGTGTCCCTCCCTCCATCATGTTGATAGCATCTGAAACATTGGACTTCATATTTTGGATTGTGGTTTCTTGTTTTTCCAGTGCCACTAATGCCTCGTTCATTTTCTCTACATTGTTCTGGATTGTTCCTTTGAGTTCCTCCTGGTTTTTCTTGTAACATCCTGTAATTCTTCAAGTTTGTCTTTCATCCATTGAAAATATTCAGTCATTGTCTCAGAAAGTTGCATCAGGCTTTCTGGCTTCAGGAAATCCATTGATACTGTGTCACCTTTTGGGGTTGACATCTTGCTTTGTGCTTGTGTAGTGTGTGGAATAGCTTGCTTTCTTCAAGATGTTCATATGTTCTTGATCTGAAGACAATGCTCTAGAGATCAGTTGGGAGGCTACACCACTTGTGTTTTTCTCTGAACTTCTGACTCCAGGGAAATGTCAGTTCAGAGCCTGTGAGATAGGTAAGACAGGTCAAGGTGCTCTGAATGAAAGGCAAGTTGATTGACCAGACGTGTAGGCACAGGTGTGGAACCAAATGGGGTGGGGCAGGCATGGGGGTGGGGCGATCACAAGGGCAGGTCAACCACTTGAGGGACCTCACTCAGACCTCAGCTGTCCGAGTGTGCTCATGATTAGAGTCCCTATTCAAATTCCAGCTGTCCATCTCTCACCCAGTGGTTTTCACTCAGTGGTTCCTGCCCAGTGACACTTACACAGGTGCCCTCAAGCAGTGGCCCCTGTTTCTTGGATAATCTGCTCAGCATATAGATTGAATAGATATATAGACTTGACACATTCCTTTCTCCATTTTATACCATGCAGTGTTGCAGACCGAGGGTAAAGTATTTTTATTGTTGTTATGTGCCATTGAGTCACTTGTGACTCATAGCAACCCTATGTACAAGAACTCTAAATGCTGTTCTATCCTGTGCCAACCTAGCCATCTCAAACGCACTTATTCCCACTGCTCCGGTCACAGAATCGATCCATCTCATCAAAGGTCTTCCTCTCCTTCACCACCCCTCCACTCTGATGTCCCTCTCCAAGGATCAGTCCCTCCTTGCAACATGCCCAAAGTATGTCAGATGAAGCTTCAGAATCCTTGATTCCAAGGAGCATTCCAGCTTCACCTTCTCCATGACAAACCTGTTTGTTCTCCTAGCAGTCCTTGGT